GTAGATGAACACAGCCCTACACATCTATTGGACAGGAAGGGAAGGAAAAGCCCCCATCTTACTGATCCGGCCCTTCGAAAAGAATTTTGGCACATTACGATATACATGATCATCATAAATTATTACGAGTATCTTGTCATGTGGCATGCCGCACAAGCTGCTCTACACAAGGTTGTTCGGCTGCTGTTGGCACGGGTGAACAACCAAGAAGAGCATGATGCATGGGTAGAGGCTGTCGCGTATTTGAAAGATTTACTTGATATGCGCCTTATCAAAAGCCTAGCTTCACGGTTGCCGAGTTGCTTCATTGGCTCACCACCGGTGCGCGGCATGTTCGTACGTGACCATGCAGTTCCAGAGGAATTACCCCTCCTCAGAGACCCGAGCTCTTTTGGGAAAGACTATTTGATATGGCTGTGTTCCTTGCTCTGGTCTGAGGAAGGCCTTGGGGTTCCTCATATTGTAGTCAGGGAAATGGCTCGAGTTATACAACAGGACAAGGACCAGAAGTACAGAATCACACCCTTGGTCGCACAGGTCAGTCATTACCCATGTAAGAAATGCGTATGAGATAGCCACTGACCTCGTACACGTTGATAGCTCGTGTCAGACCTAGCTATTTGTTTTGAACTACGAGCTCGCCTGCGCCTGGTGTGCCCACAAGCTTTCAAACCTGATGAGCAGTACTGTACCGTTGGAGCCGACCGCTACTATCACGAGATAGTCATGGAGGTTTCTGTGAATGAACTCAACGAGATCTTAGACCCGGAATGCGGTCCAGAATACGATGCCAAACCCCAATATGATTTTCTCCTTCTTGGTGAGCTCGGGCATCCAAAGACAATGCCGTACCCTGTCGGCAAGCGAAGAACCAAAGAGAATGTAGAGATTATGCAGGCTACTGAACGACGGCTCGATGAGCTTTGGAGCAAGTTCGATGCTCACGTGCAGAAGCATTTGGATAAAAAACACCTCGAGGCTCTTGAATACCTAGCGCCGTCAAGAGGACAGATACAACGGACGCCAGACTGGATAGAACCGGCGAAACCTTCCAACAAAGCGAAGAAAGATGCCACCCTGCAGGAATACATTACGCCTCTGATACCGGAGCAGCAGCCCGACCCTGTAGACCTCCCAATTCGGAGTGAGAAGCGCAAGACCAGGGGGGTTGCTAATGATCCTTCCACTGAGCCTGTCGAAGTCGCAGCAGACTTGCAGCCAGTCGCTTCTGAGGGAACAAACACTCCACCTACACCGCGATTCACCGTTGGGAAAAAGACACAGCACACATTCTCGACTATATTCTTCCAGCCGTCTGCAAGCTCGCATCCCGGTGAAGTCCCATGGACTGAATTCCTCTCAGCTATGAACACGATTGGTTTCTCACCCGAGAAGGTGTACGGCTCTGTATGGCGCTTCACACCGAGAGAGGGAGGGGTCATTACGGCAAAGCAGCCAATCAATTTCCACGAGCCGCATCCTGAGGGGAAGTTGAGGTTTGAGGTAGCAAGGAATTACGGGAGGAGGTTGACGAGGAACTATGGTATCGATGGTAGCAGCTTTATTATCGCGTAACTGTGTGTGTGCGGACTGCTACAAGACAATGTGAGGAGGTGACAGCATGGGTTCAAGGTAGCCTGGTGTCTACCAGTGTAGCTTCAGTGCGCTTTTCTGGAGACAATAGATCCGTTTGGGGTATACAGGTACTACAATAGGAGCTGTCTATTCGCGGTGAACGGGGGTTTGCAGAATACAAGGTGACAGTGAGGGTGGACGGTGGTGGAGGGCTATCTCGTCGCGCCGCCAGACCGGCTCCAAAACGACAACACCCACACAAACCATACTACACAATCTACGAAGTCTACATAATGTCTTCCTCAATTCCGCACGTCGCTGCCGCCGCAATCCACTACGAGGGCGAAACAAGCCCAATCCGCGCGGCCAACGAGATCGAAGTTGACCTGGTGGAGAGGCGCCAACAAGTACGTTCCCCAATCCCTCTTCTTTCTCAAATGTTCAGAAGCACAATAACTAATTCACAACCCAGCTCAAACGCGCCTGGAGGGTCGTCCTAGCTCCCCGCGCCGACGGCACCATCGGCGGGCGCCGCCGCGACAGCCGCCGCCTCGCACTGCACATGGTGCAGAAGTTCACCGAAGAGGTCGCCGAGCTCGACGATGAGCTCTACAAGTCCCGTTGCTTCGAGTGGTGGGTGGAGGACGTGGCGGGGAGGGCGGGGAGCTGGTTTGGGGAGGGTGCGTGGGGAGATGAGGGTGGGGAGAGGGATCTGGTGTGGGAGGAGGCCGGGGAGGCGGAGAGGAAGGAAGAGGAGATGGTGGAGTCAATTGGTCGTCGCTGCCGTTGGGATACTTGAGTGGGGTGGTGAGGGTTTGGGGCGGTGGGTGGTTTGGTTTTGGAGTTTTGTAGAATTCATGACATTTCACGACATCTATCTGTGCATGGTTGTTGGGGAAGTGACCTTTCAAGGTGTATACCACAAGAGTGTAGTAAACTCTAGCTAAGTGTACTCAATCTGCATCGATGGAAGTACAAAATAGGTTACATTGAATAAGTCACAACGTACACATATATTCCCAACGACGAGCCCATGAGTCAGCGTGGAGGTCGTCAGTGCGTGAGCAAGCACTAGTTCGACGACTATGGAAGGCTTGTGTACTCCTAGCAGGCTCAGTCTGCTGAAGAACTCGCTGCATGACTTTGATCTAGTCTTCCCGCTGTACTGCGGCGTTCTGTTGACGATACATCTGGATCCTTGTCTCCATATCACTGTCCCACGACAGCCCAAGTTTCTCAGCTAGCGTCTTTCGGAACCGTTTGTTCTCCAGCCCTGGCTTCTGTAATCCACAGAAATAGATCGTTTCGAGATAAACATCTATCAATGGCTTGTCGTAATCAGGCTCAATACCGCCGTCCTGACAGTCAGAGCTGATACCGAGCATGGCATAGACGAGATCGCGCGGTTCGGACGTCTCGAGACCTCTGTGACATGCCAATCTCAACCATGTTACTAGACGGCTTGAATCCATAGGCAGCCGTTTTCGTGTGATAAGAGCGTTGGCAGCGCTTTGCTGGACCATTGAAGATGTCTTCTCGCCACAAAGACTAGTATCTCGTGTCATTAGACTAAGAATGTGATCGAATCTCTGGTAGCTCAAAATGCGGCCCCGACTGGGCATGATGTAAATCCCGCGACCCAGGAACACCTCTTGTTGGACCCAAACGCGGTTCCAGTATGATTTTTGACACAGCTCAATGATTGCTGGATAGATAGTGTCATCCCATACTGGTTCTATCCCCATGTAAGCCTCATGCGATGGATTGGTCATCTCTTCGATAGCATATGCGATGCGGTCATCCGTTATACCAAGCCATATGACCACATTGGTGGCTCGACGATAGATCATACCCATGAGCTCGACTTGGTGATTTCTCTCTCGGGTGTCGGATTGGTTGATACTCAATGCATCAATCCAAATTGGAAGACCTAAATAATGTCTTCCCTCATGTCTAAAAGTGTGTAACGCGTCAAACAGGTTGCGTCGCACCCTAAAGAAGTGGTCATCGAGGAGAATAACCGGATCATCATCGGCGGGTGAGCCCCATTCGTAAGACAGAGCTTCAAAGCCAAACTCGTCCATTCGAACATGTCGGATATAGCACTTGATGCTGTCGAACGGAAATCGGTCAGCGGGGTCAATGCGGATTACGCGAATTGTGTCAGGTGTTTCCAGAAGCTGATATTCGAAGGGTACACATTTTGCACGATGTTCTCGAAGCCCTAGGAGCGTTAGCTTAGCCAGTGTTTTCTGCTATGAATAGGATGTATTACATCTTTTTTTCGCTTCCGAGCGTTCTTTCCTCAGCTGCAGTTCCTCACGTATAATTTTGATTGCACGCATCCGAACGATGTAGCCGTCTGAACTACCTAAGTGTTGACACCAGAGCAGTAGAACGCTTTCCTTTCCGTTGATCCTGGCAGCAAGGCTGAGAGCTGACAGAACGCATATGCTATCGGCGTGGTGTAGCGCTGAATAGAAGATATGAGATGTGAGAGCGTCCTGTCTTTTAGTATCGCGTGGAATCAGGCTTTCTGGAGTAGGAATGTGGTAGTAAGATTGCCGAAGGAAGTATTGATGTCAGACGAGGGGTATCTTCAGCTGCTCGGGTGGGTGAGGCCCCCGGGGCCAAGAGCGTCATCTAACCGCATTTGGCCGCGCTACTGCGGCCTGAATCCTCCACCCGCAGGAACGACATTCTGTCTGCTGCCGGCTTTCGCGGTTCCACATTAAAAACACTTTCGCTGATAACTTTCGGTCGTTTGCAGGCATTAACTGACGATTTCCGGGATGGGTTGACTGTGGCCAATGCTGAAAGACTCTGCGTCGGAGCTCAGCGTTAGGCAGCCGCGCCCTGTGATCAAGCCACCTCTCATCGCATATCGACGGTCATCCTCAAATGTGTTCAGGCTTCCTTGGGGCTCCAAAACTGCGCCACGCATACGCGATCGGGTAATTATCATGACGCAGACTGGAAAGTGCGACACCTGTCGGCAGCGCAAAGTCAAGGTAAGACGCGTGTCAAAACTCGCCAAGAATCTGTCGCAAAGCATGCAAGTCGTTGCGGATCGCAATCCGTTCTTACTGATGGCTACATAGTGTGATGAAATACGACCCAAATGCAGCGCATGCAAGAAGAAAGACAGACCATGTACCTACTCCTACGGCAAAGCCTCAGCATTCGTCGTGCAGGACCCCACGCAGTTGACCAAGCATGGGAGATCCAGGACTAGCTATGCCGTATATCCATTGAATTCTCCTGACGAAGGTTCAAGCTCGTCTTCAACAACCTCTTTCTCAGCCGGCTCGTCCTCAACAAATTCCTCAGACCTCTGCATCACTACCGAAAGACACACCGAAGATCGCCAAGGTTGCTTTCAAACCCTGGCACCGCGTTCAAGATCTAGGATGCAGCCGTCGAAGATGAGAGAATACCGGCAGAATCTTGCGCTTCAACTACATCTCCAGAAGCTACGAGAAGAGAGCCCTCTCGTACCATATCAGCCATCCTCGCCCGAGACGACCCTGATCTCCCGATACATTGGCGTGCTCGGACCAGAGCCCGCCGGTAGGCAGCCTTTTGAGGTCTTAGGGACCTGGATACAGTCTATTCCCTCGCGCATCGGGTCGAACAAGATGCTTGATTTGGCCGTTCAGTTCTTCGTCGATAGTCACGCTACGTATCGAGATGATATGCACTCGAAGCGCAAGGTCGCGAGAGCTTCAAAGGCTAAAGCGCTCAAGGAATTGCAGCTCGCCGTGATGAACACTGATAACAAGGTCACGTACGACATCCTGTTGGCTACGAAATTACACTACGCTGCTGAGGTTAGTCAGCCTGTCAGACGTCGACGTGTTTTGCTGATCACATGCAGGCTCTGCTGGGGCTCGATACTATGTATTACGCGATTCATGCGTTCGGAATCGCCGAGCTGCTGAGGTCAGGTGCGGTGGCGGAAGTTGATGACGATCATTTCTGGAATTTGATCGACAATACCTATGTTGACGATGTGAGTACTGGTCGGTCTTGGGAGTTCGCTGCTGATGTCGAAAGGTTCACGAGGCGATGATGGCGGGTCGGAAGTCAGTATACCACAACGACTATTACCTGTCTGCTACAATTCCACCTCCGATCGATACAAGAGATGTCATGCTGTCGCCATCACAGAGAGCGTCGATGGCCGTCATGCACGTTTTCATTCAGTGCCCTTGCGCGGTAGCATTGATCCGAGAAGCCATTTCGAACCCCGAGGACACGATCGCGCTTGCAATCGCCATGTCATATTTGGAGGGTCTGATGCAAATCAACGTGTCGCAGCACGTAGCTGAGCTCATTGAAACGACCGTGTCTGTGGTACCGATTCCACCGTCACCGGACGTCGCCGACCTAATGCCCGACACCCTCGAGTTCAATTCGGTACAAGACTTCATACTTTGCACCAGAGGCTGGATGTTACAGTCGCTCCTCTGCGGTCTTGCGGATACAGTTTATCGATACTTCCCGACTGAGGCGGCGTTATCGCTACTCCCGTCGCCTCAGCAATTACGAATTATTGACGTTGATAGCGCACTCTGTCTCCAGAAGTCGCACAGATGGGCAGATTCCGTTTCCAAACATATCCCGCTTTTGACAATGCGCTTACACACTCCACTCCAGATGGCTATTGCCCCATGGCACCGCATGACGCGAGATCTTACATCCCAGCGCTCACCATCTGCCTCGCCAGGCACCCCCTTGGACGTGGCTGCGGAGCTCACACGCGCCAAGCGCATGCAAGCTTGGATAGTCAGCGAAACCAACAAGATACACAAGAACTGGAACGTCGCCACCGTCGACGAAGAAATCCTTATAGAAGCTCTAGAAGCTTTATCTGGAGAGAAGATGCCAGATTGGCTTCCAACGCGCGTACGATTCGTCCCCGAAGAAGGCGAAATGGCCCTACACATGGAATTCGAGAACAGAACAGGGACCTACTCCACTGGCAGAATCGATGTAAGCAAGGAGCCTCCGCGCAAACTGGCGATGCCGCCGCATCCTGGGGAAAAGGGACAAGAATGGCAGAGGAAGAATGTACATGTGGTGGAGCTTCCGCTTAGAGGAGGGCGGAATGAAAGACCGGTAGACTTCTTACATAGCACAGGAAGGAACCTGTGTACGACTTCAGGGTGGTGGCCTCAGTCACACGAAACATCACATAATAGCTAGGAGGTAGTCAAGTACAAAGCAATCTCCATTCTCATCACCACTGGGTATCGTGACAGCTACATCGCCCTCCCTCCTCACCCCCCGCAAACCTCAGCCCCCCCATGTCTTCTGCAACCTCCTTCTCACCCCCTCGTCCTACCGTCCCCAAATCTGTCGTATGCCCCAAACGACATCTCAAAACCCCTTGTGTCCTTCACCAGTGTCACCGTGGTACTCCTGCCACATGCCCGTGAGTTGCTGGGCGCCGCACTTTGCGCACTTGAACTGGTGCTGGAACTGCGGGTACGGGCTCCGCGGGACGTTGTGCACGATGTTGGCGGCGCAGCAAGAGGGGTTGCAGCAGAAGTAGGTGTATGAGGAGGTTGGGGCTGGTGTGGTCATTATTGTGGTTGTTGTGGTAGTGGTTGAAAGTGGTTTGTTGGAGTGGTGTGATGTGGCTTTGGGGGTTGTGGTGATGTGGTGAAATTGTGGTAGTGGGTAGTTGTTGGAAAGGGAATAGAAGATTGGGCTTGGAAATCGCGGTTTATATAGAGGGAGAGTGAGAGGCACAGCGATGGGAGTGTGTTGGTGAATGGTGAATTGACTGAGACACGCTGGGAGTGCTGTTGAGGCTGTTGCGTCGAGGACAGCGTCACCGCTGATGGACGCGCATACTGGCGGTGTTATCTATCATTCACCTCTTAATCCGTCTTCTTCAGTTCCTGCTTCACCTCCTTGAGCACCTCACACCCCTTCGTATCCTTACTCCCACCGCGGCACGCAGGGCAAGTCCTTCCATGCTGAATAAGAAAGAAATGTAACTTAAACTTCAGCTCCGGCGGAATCACCGCATCCAAATGCAACTGCGTGTTCTCCCTACTCGCCTCCTTCGGTCTCCATCCCCATAAGCCAGCAATGCGATACACATGCGTGTCAACCGTGAACCTGTTCCTCTTCAAGCACCAGCCCATGACTACGAACGCAGACTTTGGGCCTACGTACTTGTAGCTCATGAGCTCCTTCATAGCATCTTCGTCGCTGGCTTCAAGGAGATGGTCGAGATTCCAGCGTCCGTAGCGACGCTTCACTTCCTCGAGGATGGACATGATGATCTTGGTCTTTCTGATGTGCAAGCCGCCGCAGCGAATAGTCTCTTGTAGTTTCTCAGACCCCCCATTATATATCTCCTCGTAGGCGAACACCGAGCCGTACGTGTCTTTCATGCTGTCCATTGCGCGTTTCGCATTGTTCCAGCTCGTGGCTTGGCTGAGCACGGCGACGATGAGGGCGTCGAGGACGAACGGGATTGTCTCGGGTGTGTTGGTGTCTTCGAATTCGGCTTCGACGGCGGTGTTGTGCAGTTTGTGAAGGATGTCGTAGGCTAGTTGGCACTCGCGGTTTGTGGGGTGGCCGAAGTCAGGGTATGGCGTGGATGTCGCGTGGGCGGACCATGCTTTCCATTTCTTTTCTGCGCCGGCGTCGTCGTCCATCTTGGGACTATCGACCTTGACCTCGTTGGACTGAGTGATGGTCTGCTTGCTGTTCCCATCACTGCTTTGCGCTATTCCGTCTCTTTTTGCGGAACGATTTGCTGCTCGGCTGTCGACGCGCTTGCTGAGCGTCTCTTCACCAGTCGTTGAACCAGAGTGTCTTCTCTTCATCGCACTACTCGCGGTGTGTTGCGCAGTGCGTGTGGCCGCTCTCGTCGATCTTCTTAGAGCCATGCTGTAAATTAACATCAAGAAAAATACAGGTAGCAGGTGTGTCAGACAATGTCGTAGACGCGCTTCTTCTTGGAGCAAGTTCGGCGGACGCGTTCAAGGTATATACTAATCAGCACGCTGACGTCTTTATCAGTCGCGGCCCTGGGCCCTTGCATAAGGACGCGCTAATCGTCTCCATGATCGCGTCGGATTCCGCGGGCGCTGAGATCTAGATTCGCGAGATGCAGTGCGGAGGCGTGGTAGCGCATCGAAGGTTCGGCGATGAACCCATCTCGGCGATAGACCCAACAATCGGAGATAGACCCACACGCTAGTCCTGTCTTGTCAAACATTGCTGCCTGAGGAGCAATCGCTTTGGTAGAAGGGCATACGTTGTGCTTAATTCTGTGCTATCAACTGTAAAATATAGCATCTCTGCCCACGTCTACACAGCATAATCTTTATACCTCCTCACGAAATCGTGCAAGTCCTGCGTCGAGTCACAAGGTGCAGGTTGCATGTAACGACAGCTCCTACCCCCCGACTTCGAGACCCTCAAAATGGTCTTGGTAAGCCACCAATACTCCGCCGCGTGCTTCTCGAACCCCAGATCAGGCAAGAAATTTCCTTCGCTATCTCGGCTTACTACATCCCAGAGCGCCTTCCATCGGTCGGTGGCGCGAAGCATCGGCTCTATGTTCATAGAAGTGAGGAAGTTCATTCTGGATGTCATGACGATGGATAGAAGTGCTATTAGAGTCAGCGGGTTGAGCATAGGATGGGTGATGTGAGAACGGACCGCAGATGAGTATCAGCATATGTGGTGGTGAGATGGCTTCTCCGGGCTCATCGGCGCGCTGTGCGACAGGGGAAAAGAGGGCGCGTGACATTAGTGCGGGTAATGTCTCGACTCGTGGTCGGGGGAGCTGATGCGATGCAAGACGCGCGAAGTCGGCGGCCGACTCAGCTCTGAACAAACTCTCCTCGCAGGGGAGGTCACCTATCGCCTCACTGATGGCAATTTGTGGGGTATTGTTGAAGAATACGGAGAGCGTGCTGTCAAAGAGGCAGGTCCACATGCCCAATCTGCGAGGGTTGTTAGTGGCTTTATATACGTGGTGTGGACCAGGTCGTGGTACCTCGATCGCATCTCATCGTTGATGAACGCCTGCCAATCATGTTCATTTTGACTGTGGGTGATGTGACGCTGTTTGTACGCAAACAAGCCTGAGGCTCGCACAGCAGCGACAAGCGATGGAATGCGCTGGAGGCGGATTCGCCGTCTTGTGACCATGTCGTTACTGTTGTTTAGAAACACCAAGAACAATAGACCTGCTTGCAACAACTGGAGATGCTCATCTTCGACCCACGCCGAGTGATCAGTTTGCGATATCTGACGTAATACCAGTTGATCGAAAACGTATGCCTCCGCAACGTGTGAGAACCGTCGTACGCCGATGGAGGTATCAGACTCTAGAGTCGGTAGTGACCCGAACAAAACGAGCGCGAGTAGAAGCGGGAAGGACACCGTCTGTATATCGAATGTCGGCTTGTGCAGAATAGGAAACGAATAGTGAAAGTAGCGAAAGAAAGCCCAAACAAAATGCCGCACATTGCCAACTGTAAAGACGGTTTCGGCAAGTTGATAATCGAATGTTGCATCAAGTGCATCACCACGCTCCAGCATCGCGCTATGCTTAGCAGACAGGTGGTCTAGCATCTCTCTTACACGTACTTCCAAGGCGTACGCATCTTCCAGTTCAGGTGTCAGACCATCGCTTATGATCGGAGACGCGTAGTCTACTTCTCTCCCCGACACCAGGAAAGGGAAACCGAAGAAGACAGAAGGTAAGTCGGCAAATTCGAAGAACGACTGCTCATGCGCCATGTGTTGATCTTGATCGTGTGGTTGTACGTGTGCTTCGCCATCTGCATCGTCGAGTTCCGTGGCTTCGGCGGCGATCGCAGCGGATGGGCGATACCCCGAAGGATTCGTGAAATTGAGGAGGAAATCGATGGAGATGCCCACGCGCTGCCGGTCGGTACTGATCTCAGTACCATCTTGGCTGCTTCCAACAGATGCAGTAGTACCTGCAGAAACGCCGTCTAACCGCTTGTACGTACACGCCGCGCCACCATCGCGACAACGCACACATGGCATTTTGGTATCGCACGAAAGCTTGCGCTGCGAACATCTATCGCAGGAGTTTCGCTTTCTGCCGCGCCTCAATGTGGGTAGACTCACGTCATCGCCGTGGGCGGAAGAGCAGTTTGACAAGTGGCGTCGAGCGAGGTCTCTGTATCTTTGTCAGCTCTTAACAAGCACACACACCGAGGGACAAGCCCACCGTCGCGTGAACTGCGCATGACATGACGGACATGTCAAGTCTTGCCTGCCGAAATCTGCTTATTGTGAGCCGCGACTGATCCATCGTGCAGGATGATGCTCACGTGACGCTTCATGGCGGCGAAGATGGCTGTTGGTGGAATAGACCTTGTCGCATACCGCGCATTGATGCTTTGTGCGGATTGCGGGAGGCATGTAGGTGGCGTATGCATCTCGCACATGAACCCACGGGAAGGAGTCGGGAAGGAGTGGGTTTTATCCCGCGCGATGGTAGTGGATCTAATCTGCTAGCGTCCGTCCGATCCCGCTCCAGTGCATCGACGTCATCTACTTCTGGGCTTCTTGCTCGGAATCTTCGCGCAAGGAACTTTGGGTGTGTACGTTGGTGGGTTGGTAAGTCGATGATGGTTAGCTGACAGGACTGTTCGCCCCTCCCGGCGTCTTACACCGCAACGAGAGAGAACAGACTTCAAAAAATGTATCATTAGGATCTCACCGGTACCCGCGGTCTCCGAGAAAATTGTCAAAATCTGCATTACCAGCTAAGGCTATCTGGCCAACGTAGCTCAGTATCCAGGTATCTCACATCCTCAATAAAACCCCTTCCTAGCCGTCCCCTTCTTCGTCCTATTCTCCCCCCAAATACAACAAACACTCAAACTCTCACACCACCCCTGCACCATCGTGCTCTCTAGTTCCTTCTCAACAGCAAACACCTCCGATCCATCCCCTTCCCTGCTTGGCCCCACGCCCAGATGTACCGCTTCCTCGCCCCTCTTCTTCAAATCCGCATTCCAGGCCTTGATCTGCTTCTGCGTAGCTTTTTTGTACACGCGGATGGGTGTGTGGCCGTTGAGATACGCAGTAAAGTCTTCGATGACGATGGGGTCGTACATGAGGATCTTTTCGTGCCAGGTAGGCTTGCTGGGGTCGGTGGTTGGAGGCAAAGACCGGATGTGACTTGTTATCTGAGCAAAGACCTGGGCTTTGATGTTCGGCCATTCGAGAAGCGGGGTAGGTATGCGGTGGATAGGTACTAGACTTGGATCGGCCGCTGAGGCTTTCGCTTTCACCGATTTGCTGGGTGAGGTTGTGGGAGATAGTGTGATTAGAGACAGAGGTTGTGAGTTAACATGTTTAGTTGTTCGGGGCGGCGTGGGGGAGAGGAGCTGCATGGCTTCGTCTTCGGAGTCGAGGATCTCGTCTATGTCGATGAAGCGGCCTGAGCCTGTGGGAGGGGACGATGGCATCTTAGTTCTGGTCTTTGACTTCGCGCGGGGCTTCAGGATTGGCGTCAATGACGCGGAGACTGATGTAAGTATTGCAGAATGCGATTTCGTCGGCCTTCCGCGCTTCTTGGGAGAGCCGTCCATGGGCGTTGGTGCTGAGGCGGCAGGTTTGAAGATCGAGACTGGCGATTTCCGCATCTGCGCAGAGGGCGGAAAGTCGAAGTCGTCGATGTCAACAAAGCTGTCTGGTGAGACAGGTTTCTGACCGGAAGGTGGAGGCTCTTGCATGAAGTCGTCAATGTCCCTGAAGCCCGTATCTTTCATTTGATCATCATCGTTGCGAAACTTCGTCATTGGGGTGGCGCGTGAAGTGCTGGGAGGTGGCATTGGTGGATCAGAAGATATGGCAATTGGTGGCGGCGGGTCTTGGGGTATATCATCAATATCTATGAAGTCAGATTGATCGTCGTCTTGCTCATTAGGCGCATCGGTAGTGCCATCCATGAGCAATGGGATGTCTTGCGTTCGGTCGGGCTCGGGTATATAAACGTCCTTCAAGTGCTCCAGCATACCGCCCTCGTCGTCGCGGGAACTCGCAGCCCAAAGTCCGCGCTTGCCTTCCACCCTGCCGAGCCGTGACCATCGCGGCGGCGCGCCATACGCAACATTGTCGGCGTCCTGCTCAGACTCCTTCAGCGCATGCTGTAGTTGACGCACCATTGTCGGCGACTCTTCAAGCACAAGCTGACTTGATGTTCCAAACAAGACGTCTTGCTGCTGCAGACGCGACATTGCTGATGAAGGACTGAGCAACTTCTCCGCGACGGGTTTGGGTTTGGCGGCTGCCTTCGTAGACGCCTTCCTCGCTCTTGGCTTGGGATCCGCTTTGTCTGTGCCTGACTTGGAGCTGTTACGCCTGCGCACTGGCTTCTTCGGTGCTGCATCGCCGTCCGCCGCCGATGCATCGTTCAGCGGCACCTTTGTTGTAGTTGTCGAAGCTCGGGACTCGAAGAAGTTGCTAGTCGCATCGTCTGGAACTGGTTGTGCATCCTTCAAAGCATACTGCTCTGTAACGAGGTCGGTGATGGTGCGTGGTTTCTTCTTCGGTGCTCTCCCTTTCTCGGGAGACGAGTCTCTGGAGTTGGTGTTATTGCTGGGTATCTCGACAAGTTCAATTCTCCGCCGCTTCGTCGCTGCCACAGCCCCTGTTGCGTTGTTCGATTTCGCAGCGATCTGCGCAGATGGCGATTGTGCGTAGGCGAAGTTGGAGAGGAGGTTTGTAAAGGAGCCATCCGCGTTCTGCGATAGGGTCTTGTTCTCCTTTCCGGTCGAGTCGGTGAACGGCGATGCGATTGTGGTGTCGGGTGGCGGCGTCCAGTCTCTCCTCCTTAGAACAGCCTCCTCCAACTCCAAACCTTGTGCGATGGGATCTGGCTGTCGCTGCTTGGGTGCAGCCTTCTTCTTCGGCTTTGGGCTGTCTGGCACTTCCCAGATCGATTGAGGCTTGGCTTGAGTGTCGTGGTCCTCTACAGAAGGCCGTGTTGCCGACTCCTGGCCTCCGTCTGCTCCACCTCCGAAATGCGCAGACACAAGCGACGCATCTCCCTGCTTGCCCTTCCCTGTCCCAGCTTTCGCCTTTGTGGCCCTCGGTTTCTTTGGCTTTGGCGCAGGTTCTGTCCATTCTTCCGCAGTCTTGACCTTCTTCGCTCGAGGCTTACGGGGCTTGCCAGACTTGGTGAGCTTCGGCGCATCCGCAGCTGGTGCCGCAGGGTCGACCGGAGGTTCTGTCGCATCATCGTCGAAGAAAGGAGACTTGGTAGGTCGTTGCGGCGGGCGTCGGAGTTCGTCGTCGGAGTCAAGGATCTCTTTGTCTGACTTGGGTTTCGCTTTGCGCGCTCGAGGCTTCGGTTTGGGCTTCTCGGAGCCGTCTGCAGCGGTAGTAGTAGCTGTAGCCTTCTTCGTAGTCCGCTTCTTGGGTTTCTCCGCAGCCAAAGGAGGCTCTAGGGTATCCTGTGAAGTCCGGCGTGGTTGCGCTTGTTGTATTGCATCGAAGTCGTCGTCGAGGCGGCTTGTGAAGTGCTCGGAGCGTATGAGGCTGCCCACGGTGGCGAATCCTCTCACAGCCCCTTCGGGGATAGGAGCAGCTCGTGCATTGCTCTTGGACGCGCCGGCCGCCGGCCTGAGGGGGCTCGCAGGAGGGGAGAATGCGAGAGGGGAGGACGCAAGCATGGCGACGCGACGGGAGGGGGCATCATGTAGCGGGGAAGCGGCTGGCGGACTCGAGGATAGCACCACGACGTCGTACATGGTATTGCCTGCCATTCTGAGGCGAGGAAGGGGCCGCCAGGCAGCCAGTACGGGCAGACGGAGAGGGGCAATCCATAGACTCGGCCTGAGGAGTTGGGGAGGGTGTGGTGTGGAGTGGCGCTGGTTGGTGAAGCCGAACAATGCACGGTCTTTGGGTCAACTGAAGTTCATTGCTGCAACACCAAAGTCTCCATCACCAAATTCCCAGCCATGCCCCTCCACCACCGCAGCTTCCACATCAACCCCCTGCGATCGAGCTGCATTTCCTTGAGGAGCTCTACAATCACTCGCAGATCATCATCATCGACTTGTATGACGGCCCCCGGCCGCATACAGCGCGGAAACCGCCTCCGCGGAAGTCTTCCAAAACCCATCGTAGCCTCCTGCCTCCCCTCACCCTCGACAGCAACATGAAGCAGACTCGAAGCTTCAGAACACCTCCTTCATCCCGCCCAGTACGTCTGCGCGCTTGTCGCAGCTTCTGGCGTTGCGAGTGAGGTTCAGGACAGCCAGAGCCGTCGCTGCGAACCTCACCCGCTGAACGAAGGCCCTCGGCATCCTTCTGCGAGCCTCACACAACGAGAGGAGCTTCCGAGAGACTGCAGTAAGTGCCTCTCGTCTTTGCCGTCGACGTCCTTGACCTTCGCTGCCCCTCCCTGAACCTGCCTCCTCTGCCGCTACCCCGCCTCGAAGCCACACACATCACCCAGCAAGGGCAAGAGAACGTGCAGAGACATTGCTGATGTTTTGGCTTATAGACAACAAGCTGCTGCTGTAGCCTTGCATCGGCAGCGACGTCCTCCTTGGGTTGACTTCAAAGCTGCCTCCGACACACCCCCGCCCTCACCTCCGCCGACAACCCTCAGCGACAAGCATTGCTGAAGCACTGCGCAAGAGGCGAAACACAAGCCCCCATCGCTGGCCCAAGGCTGGTAACTACCACAACGATAGTCCATCTCGCTGTCGATTTCCTGGCGGCATGATGCTGAGCCATTCTCACCTGGGAGGCAGTAGCTTGGCCATGCCGACACCCTCGCGGAGCGCCTGGTGAGAGCCGTCAAGCTTGAAATTCGAGGCCGACTATCGATGCCTCACCTAGCACCTTCGGGTCGGTACTCATGGCGGCCACTCTTGACGCTCTCGTACCCCTCGCATACCAAGAAGACAAGACTCGATGCTGTCACCCACTCGAAAGTAAAGCGACTCGGATCGGATGAAGGGTCTGGGCCTACAACATAATGTGCGGGGCGCTTGGGCAACCGCGAGGAACCCATGGAGAGGATACATACCAGCAAGAGACGGAGACTATGGGCATGCCACCGGAGCACCCAAAGGTTCACTGCTCATCGGCGCAGGCGCGGGTCAAG